GGTAGAAGAGTCAGAAGTTGGTGAGATAAACCGTAGTCAAGTGTGGAAGGCTGCCCGCGTCAATAAGAGCGGGGTGATTGATAATGAGAATTTTCAAAGAGTTGTGGATCAATGTGTAAGTCGAATTTTAGATGTGACACTATAGATGTTATTTCCAAAATGCTCACATTATAGATGTGACACTTTTTCTATACTCATCATTGTTACCGAATTTGTATTTTGTTAGTTAGTTTGAAGTCATTAAACTCGATTTTCCTTAATTAATTGAGTCTTTGTGTCTTATTTTGATAGAATAGCCATTAATTGCAACTTGTATCTAACTATTGGTTATTTCTTTTATACTTATCAATGTCAGGAGAAGTTAACAGAAGCTCTATATGAAGAAGAGAGACAAGACCTTGGTCCCACAAACATATTATTTGAGGCTCTTAATCTCCCAAACTACTCTGGACGTGTTAGGACTTATGGTTTTGGGGTATGTTCTAGGGACATATTACCACGCCAAAATCGCCCCACACAAATGGATTTTGAAAAATTGTATGGCTTTTGTAATTCACTCAAAAGTAGATTGGAGGTGCTAGAGAGAGAAAAGATTGAGAGAGATAAGTTGGATAGAGAGAAGCTAGAGAGGCAACAAACTGAAGAAGTGGAAGAAAGGCAACAACCTAAACAAGTGTCAGAGAGGTTGCAACAACCTGAAAAAGTGGCACAGAGGCAACACCTTGAACAAGTGGTAGAAAGGAAACAACCAGAAAAAGTAGCTGAGAGTCGACTACCTAGTGATAAAGGTTCTTGCAACCCTGGATCATTTGGCAACATTCCCGAGGTAATTGGTTTCTTTATTATCTCTCAAATTCGATATGTTTGTTCTTTCAATAATGATGTTAATCTTTTTATTCATATCTTATTGGTTTAGGGTCTCTTTCCTGTTAATATATATTTATCCTCCCCGAGTCGTTGTTTGGTTGCTCGTGGAAAACTATATAACACCAAAGGTAACACGGTACATGGCATGACGTTACCACCTGGATATGTCAAGGTTAATATCGAAGTTGCTATTGTGCCAAATGCCCCATTGCCTATATCTGTTGAAGATGGAGATGTATCCATGGTTGGTCAAGCAATAGGAACAATTGTGCCATGGCCAACGAAACTTCTTGAATTTGTTGCTGAATGTGAAAAGGTAAGTTACTTATAATCAAGTTGCTTGATCGCTACTTGTTTTATTATTTGATCACTAATATTAATTAATACAACTTTTTAGATTCCTGGTCAATCCCAAAACAAAGGTAACAATATTCAACACAGTGTTGAATATTCAGTTTCATCACCCAACAAAAGTAACAAAAAATTCAAAATCGAAGAGTCTCCTAGAGTTGGCGGTTCAGCTGGTATTGCAAATTTACCTTTCCTTGATATGTATGTGAAAAAGATGATGAGGGTTGGATCATTAATTCAAATAAAAATGGAGGAAAGTATGTTTGGTGAGGAGTTTTTAGAGCAACTACGTGTAGAGAGTATAAAGGAGATTCTTGATCACAATTGGTTAAGTGCATCTATTATCACTGTATTTTCCAGGTACCTCTATTATTACAAATATTCTCTTATTTGACAAATATATTATTAATATTAATGTTATTTGTATTGTTGACTAATATTCACATTGGTGACAAATATATTAATATCAATTGTTGTTCATTTCTAGGTATTTGTATGACAAGTTTATTAGTCCAAATGGATTAATAAATAAGTTCTCTTTCATATCTCCACATGTATCACGGGAGGATAATCTAGGAAATGGTATAGCAAAAATACTTTTGAAAGATGAGGAGTTCAAGGATAAGATGATTCTTGCACCTTGTAATCTAGGGTGAGATTTATATTCAAAAAGTTATTAAATTAACGAAAAAAAACTCTAATGAATGTGAATCTTTAATGCAATATTTAAATGTTGGGTGCAGGAAACATTGGGTGTTGCTTGTCATCAATCTCAATGCTGAGGTGATATATTACATGGATCCGTTGAATGGTGAGCCAACAAAACATCAAAATTTTAAAACAAAGTTTGAGAAGTGAGTATAGACTCTTTTAATTTAAAATTTATGTACGTATTATTATTTATATAATTACTCATTTGAAGTTAATTTCATTTTGTTAGCGCTTTGCAAATTTATCGTGCTAATAGTAGTTCTAAAGTGCCTAAAGTGTCAAAGTCAAAGAAAATCTCATGGCAAAAAATAAAGGTATGTGTCTAAATTAATGTTATTTTAAAACAATTATGTGGAGTAAAATTAATCGATATAAATTTTTTTTTTGTAGTGTCCTCATCAAATTAATGGCGTTGATTGTTGATACTTTGTAATGCGATTTATGAAAGAGGTCATCATGGAAAATGAATTTATGATCCCCACAAATGTACGTGATTTTAATTATTATTATTATTCTTTTGTAAATTAAATTAATATAATTTAATTCTAACACGATTAATTGTTGATGTTTTCATATTTGAAGTACTTTTTTGACCACAAATGTCGTACCTACTCTCATGATAAGTTAACTGAGGTTAAGGAGGATTGGGCTACTTATGTGGTGGATGATGTTTTCGGTGAGTTTTTCCTTGACTTGATACTTGATAAACAAGACAAATATTACTCATGGATTTAGAGTTCAAATGTTTTGACTTAGATGTTTAATTTTAATTTTTGAGTTGGATTTAGAGTTGTCGTATAAATGATTTTAGTATTTTATTGGTTTAGAAGATATGGCACAGAGGTACTGAGTGTTCTTTCTTGGTCTCGAATTTAAATTTTGAAATAGGAAAATACGGAAAAATGACTTATATCTTATTGTATGATTGATTTATAGTTTTCTGTTTCTACTTGAAATTTTTAGATATTCGTAGTAACAATTGTAAGGTGTTTGATATCTAGTTCTGGATCATGAAAAGAAAGTTACACATAATTAAGTGTTTATGTATATTTTGAGAATTTGAATTATATTCTGTTTAGTGTTTATATGCATCTAATAATGGAAATTGTGGTCTATATATTTACAAGTCATGTTCTTGTTAGACTTAATTAGTTCAATTATTGCATTAGTTATATCGATTTATTGTTATTAGTTTATAATAATCATTCCTTATTTTATGCGCTTCTTGTTAGACCCATATTAAATGTTTGATTATTCTTTATATGTTGAATTAGTTTTTATTGTACAATACATAATCAATATTCCTTCTATGATACAGGAAAACAAGAAGCAATTATTTTGCCTAATTAGTGATTGTATCTATGAGTTCAACGCTTTTGGATCATGAAGGTGGTTACTACATGGGATTGTTTTGTTATCCTTTCTTATTTTTTTGGTGTTTTGTTTAGAGAATTTGATTGTATGTTTTTGGATTTGGATTGAAGTACTCATAGATGGGCATCTACAAATTTGGCTATGCAAACGCCCTCTTAATATTCTATATGTTATGATATTTGGAAACAATAGGATTTGGTAATTTAAAATGTTATTTGGTATTTGATGGATCATAATATATATGCAATGAGTAACTTAAAGCGTTATTTGTGTTGAATTGAATATAGTTATTTTATATTTACACCAAAAAAAATGATTGTGTAAGAAAAAATATTGTACTGTACTTATTAAAAATATTGTACCAAATATGTACCATTTATTAGCACTTTATTTGAAAGCGCTATCAAACATATGTTATATATTAGCGCTTTTTGTTTAGAGTGCTATAAAAAAACAAACAAAAAACATGCAAAATACTGACTTTGATAGCACTTTAATTAAAACGCTATTATAAATTGGTACTTTAATAGCGCTTTTAAAGTGCTATTAAATAAGAAATATTTACAATAGTGGCGCGGTTAATAGCACTTTTAAGCGCTATCAAAAACAAAAAAAAAGCGCTATTAAATAGCTTATTTGGCGTAGTGTTTTTAGACGTTTATTTATTTCGCGCGCTTATATTATTATGTATCTGCCTATAGTTTATAATTTTGTCGCGCGCTCATTTTATTTCCTGATTATGTATCTGCCTATGGATTGTAATAGCCCTAATTAGGATTTTTATTTTCCACACTTTATATTTTAGTCAGATATAACTGTAATTGTCCCAAAGCCATGTAACAGCTGTAGGTTTCATTTTCCACATTATATTGTATGCATGTATATAAATTGCTAGTAATTAGGCGTGCATGACAAGATTAAATCAATTAATCATTATATAACTAATCTTAAGACAAATATCTACAAAAAAGCATTATTGCACACTTACACCCTTAGGGTACTCCTCACTTGGTTCCCTCGGAAAACAATGGTCATGTCCCTCGAACCACTACAACATTTAGGCTCTCCAGCAACAATTGAAAAACGTTGCCAGAACTCTGAAAATCGTTGCCTAAAACAATAGGGGACGTTTTCTAGGCGTCTCCTGTGTGAGCGTTGCCTATTGTTTGAGGCAACGTTTTTTTATGTTTTTTGGGAACGCTTTTGAAAAACGTCGCCTATAGTAAAGGAATAGGGGACGATTATTTACGGCCTCTGAGACAACGTTTTTTAAGCATTGCGTTGCCAAATTCGGCTACAATTAACAATCGTTGCCTTAAACCTGAATCAGGAAGATCGTTTTTGAAGTGTAACCATAGCTTATAGGTTGTTGTTTTATAGTGTCCACATAAAATATACAATTTTGCAATTATTATCAAAATAATATAGTCAATAATAATTGGCTTCAAAAATAATATTGATTATATAACTTAAACCATACATCCATAAAAGTTGTAATATAATAAAATCGAGTTCAAACTTTAATTCAAGATATAGTATATAGAGTACACAAAATGCCTAACATAACAATATTACTTTTAATACTTTGAAGTATGACCCTAGTAAAATAACTAAAAACATAGTTCAGCAAAAGAACAAAAATCATATTTCAAGTTTAATGCTTTCAACTACAAGCCAAAAAAAAGACATCATCCAACTCATTCAAGTTTGTCTTCTAGGAGTAAAGCATCCAGATCGTCCTCTTGAAATTCGTTAGATATGTCATCCTCCATAAACTCTTCATCTACGTCGTCCTCTTGAAATTCACCATCTATATCCTCCTCTTGAAATTCATCATCTAGATCTATGTCGTCCTCTTGAAATTCGTCATCTACGTCGTCCTCTTGAATTTTATCATTTAGGTCGTCCTCTTGAATTTTATCATTTATGTCGTCCTCTTGAATTTCATCATTTATATCGTCCTTTTCAACATCTTCATTGATACATTGCTGCATAAAAAAATAAAATAAAACACATTATCAATGTTTTGCTAAATGTCAGGCTTCCAATGAGATTCTTCTTACGGGATGACTTGACCAGAATGGTCTCAACAAATTTCCTAGCTTGGTAAATCTAATTAGATCAGCAGCTTCATCCACTCATAATATCTCAAGAAGTTTCATTTCCATTAGTCCCGTTGTAAATACATTCACACAAACATTTTGTACTCAAATCTTGTAATATTCACTTCAATAATAAAAGTACAGATTATTTTTGCTCTTGTTGTTTAGGTAAAGAAAGTTTGATGCTCCTACCACCTTCCAACAATTTAAAATTATGATTGAAACTCAATTTCCCTACAAAACTAATGGCTTTACAAAGTGACAGGGAAGAAGAATTCAGATCTTTCACTTAATTTCTAAACCCAAAATCCTCTACTAATGCCCTTCTTTTGAGGTTGTAAGTTCTAGTTAGAAGCATATACAAGACAAAATTAAATCTAGCACAGAAACATATAGAACACTGCAAACTCACCTTGATAATATCTCCGACCTGCAACTTTTTCCAGGGCATAGGCGCCCACTTATGATCTTGTAAAACATATATCACATTATTGTTTATGGACATATCATTTTGAAAACGTTTCTGTCGTAAGAAATTTAAGGGGAAAACATATTAATAAGAAGGATACAAAGTGAAATCCACTGTAACAAATCAATTTATGAGAAAGCCTCAGTATTTTGCAATAATGATGTCATCAAAATAAACATACATCTATGCATGCATAAACCCCCTTTCATTACATATATGGAAGTCATAATCACATTTTGAAACGAAATAAGAATAAATTTCACAAACTTGGAAGCATTGTGTGATAAATGCTTACACCGTATATCTATATACACATCAATTCAGCATTCTCCTATAACATCCTTAATTGGAATTTCCTATATTATGTTGACTCAAAATATGAAATTGAAATCCCCTACTCTCGAAAACTTAAGTAAAACATACCAAAAAGAAAGCAATGTTCAAAGAGAGTGAATAATATTCTTACCCAGTCCTCAAAAGCTTCCTTAATAAGAGAAACGAGAAGCACCAAAGATAGAGGAAGCACATTAGTTATTGGAGAGACAGGACTACAACATCAGAAATTATGTAATTAGACTCTAAATACTTTCAAAATAGAGAAAACATCAACATATGAAAAAGTATATACTACTGATAATGACTTTAACATTAATTAAGTAAAGCATGGCAAAATGATACTGTGGCAGTTTGACTAGAAGCTCATGAATCACAATTAAGCTTGCATATTGCAAAACAATCCTTGAAATACAATAATTTCTAGCATTCACATACCTAATTGGGGTGGTTGACAAAATTGAGATTGTAAGAAAGTAGAGATTAGCCACCCGTCTGAACTGCAGGACAAACAGGAATTTCTATCATCTGAGAAAACATAAAAACCCTGATAATGTGGCCAAGGATAGACCCCATCATTTAAAAACAAGTATCATTTACCTTCAATAAACAATAAAGATGTGGACAAAAATTAAAAGCATAGAGAAACTTACCTGTTCAAATAATCCTTTAGGCAGAAAGGTGAAAAAGTTGTATTTTGTAGTCGATATTGAATTCCCCTGAAATAATGGATATTAACTAACCAAATCCAATCTAGTTACAAGACATAGGCATGTAAATACACAATATAATCTCACACATGAAAAGAAATCCACTGTTTCTGTTTCTGATAGCTAGTACTATCAACTTGTGAAACAAGATGGCCATAGGGATCTGGAAGGCCATAGACATCTACGACACCTACAATCAACATTTCTTTGTCAATGAATGGTCCAACATTTATGGGCAGAAAGTAAAATCTATTGTTTTGTTGTGCGTTGCATTGAGAAAGAAACATGTATAAACTTTTTTCTAATCCTATTGTTTTAAGCCCAATGGAAACAGTAAGCTGTAAACATTATCAACCAATATAGATCAATAGAGTGATTGTTATAATTAAATGGATATCTTCTGAAATATGTGCATACAGAAACACAGCTCATATTGCGGTCACTGTAATCATACTGCAACATATCTTTGTTAGAATCAGTTTAGTAACTGATGGTAGATTAGACCTCTAGAAATATTGCGGTCACTGTAATCGTTCATTCATTTTCCATATAATACAAATCCGAAAATTGATGAAAAGGTTTACAAAGTTCCACTTCTCTCTGTTTTCTCAGTCATCTCCTTCGGATCATTCAATTATCATTCTGTCTCCAATACTATTTTCTCAATAAATCCAGCAGACTAAGATAGTGTTTCATTATGTTCATAGGTAGGACGACATGATTTCAATGAGGATTACATAGTTTCCTTTGAAAAGGTAAAGATAATACATATCAAGAAAATCTACATAATCATCCCTTAAAGTTCGCACAAATTTAGTACGAAATGTAAAATAGAACTCACCCTTCCAGGTTCTTAGCCTCACAGAAACTTCTGAAGGCGGAACAAATATTTGTAACTTTAGCAGCGCCAACACTGAAATAAACAATTCACAAATAATAAAATAAGAAGAAGAATAACAAAAAAAAAATATATTTCTTCAAGCTATAGCAGTAATACACTAAAGATATAATCGAAAACTAATACAACATCAATACCTAGCACTGCTTCCCTTCTGTTGATGGGCATAAGCATCAATTTGTTTGAAATTCACATCTTTTTGTCCTCTACACATAGTCAAATAGAATCATTTTAAAAAATTTCATAAACCAGCCTCATATGTTTTATGTGTCATCTCTTTCAATCATTCTCATAAAGAACAATCAAATTTTTTTGTTAAAAATCGGGTATCATTTGCACGCAATTGCAGAGACTAATCTCTAACGCAGTAAAAGTACAAGAGAATAATAATAATACTTACAGTGCATGTGACATGTTGTTGAGTAGTTTATCAGAATCGGCAAAGAACAAAGTGATAACCTCATACACAAAATCTGGACTACTGTCATCTTGAAGTTTTTGAAGCTGACTGAATTGATCATCCAGAATACCCTGCTCCCCCAATAACCAAATTATCAAATTTATTAAATAATAATCAAGATTCTTTAATCTGAAAACAAAGGGTGATTAATTATAAATTTGAATGTAATAATTGAGAGAAAAGGAACAAGAACATGTTGAATAATGGTAGATTCGAGGTCGCGTAGCTTCCTCTGTAAATGATCCATGTTGTTGTCTATGATTCTCGATACAACTAAATTTCAATGAATATATAGCAAGAAAAAGAGGTTATTGAGTTGAGATTGAAAAGGAACAGAAGCAGTAATAACTAGTAGTAAACATTTGTGTCTGTTTGTCTGAATTCTGAGATGAAAACGTCACTGGTTTTGGTTTGTTAGGTTTCCGTAAAAGGGATTTTTCCTTAATTTGCACATATACTGCTTCTGACTGGTTCTGTCTATGTACTTCCTCTTTAGTCAAAACTAAAAACTCTTTTTTTTTTAATTAAATTTTTTTTATTAAATTTTATTTTCTTTTCTTTTTTGACTAATATATATATATATATATATATATATATATATATATATATATATATATATATATATATATATATATATATATATATATATATATATATATATATATATATATATAATTTTTTATTTTCTGTTTAATTGAAATTTTTTATTTTTAAATTCCTGTGTTAGAAAAATATTTTTTTTTATATATATATTAATAATGTTTAGAGAAAAATATTTGTTTTTTAGTGTATAAGTTTTGGAGGGAAGATTGCCACCAAAAATTTGATAATTCTAAAAAAATTTATACAACATTTCAGAAATGTAGACTTTTATTAGAACTAATGTAACAATCTAAAAATGTCCCCAAAAATATTTTAGGGGACAATTGTCAAACATTGCTAAAGAAATAATATTTTAACGCTCTAAAATCGTCCCCAAAAGCAGTTAAGGGCATAATTAACAACCGTTGGCAAAAAAATAAAAGAGTATCGCTCCATAAACGTCCCCAAAAGTATTTTATGCGACGATTATCAAGGGTTGCAAACATATTTTTGACAACAATCGTAAATCGTTGCCTATATGAATTTAAGGCAACAATTTCTACATGTTACCTAAAAAAGTGTTGCCAGAGATAACAAATGTTGTAGTGAACGTAGGGATAAATTAGCAAAGACCCTCAGTTCAAAAGTGATCATAAAGATCATGGTCCCTTAATGTCCCTCGAGTTGCCTACGAGAAATGATCTTGTCCCTCGATGTTGCCTATATGATGACAGTCCCTTCGAAATGTTAAGGTATCCTTACATGTTGTCTTCAGTGACCATAAGCATCCCTTTCGATAGTACCTCAACATCCGACGATAAAGCTACCTACTCGCTAATAGTATGATAGGATTTCCTAAAGGAAAAGAGGAAAAGAACGACCCTTTTCGAGTAATAAAGTAGATAGATGTTAGAAGTTTGCTCAAACATTTTGCACTTACACAAAAACTACTTTTCAAAAACAATTTCAAAACACTTTGTATACTTTCTCCACTATCCCGAGAAACATTACAAAGTTCGCCGTGCTAAGGCATTTTCAAAATATTTTTCAAACACACAAAGCACAAATGTATTTTTAAAATGAACAAACCTCTAAGAGCCCGTGTAAAACCACGAATAGAAAGGGTGCTAACACTTTCCCTTTCCATAATCTACTCCCCTTACCCAGAAAACTCTCGAAAAGGTCTTTTTTCTGTTCTTTTCACCCTTTCCTTAATTTGGATAAAAAAAAGACGATGGCGACTCTTGCTTACCGCACATTTGCGAATATAAAATGCAAAACCAGTATTAAACAGTCGGTTATGCCACCGTATCAGACTCACGAAAAAAATAATATTATCTTGTTTATATAGTCTATTGATCTATGTAAGTTTTCGTATTTTTGTATCTTTTTTCTTGAATAAAGTTTTTAAATGCTGAATTTCATTTGGTTTTTGTCTCTAAAATTAAAATCTGTAGAAAAATAACTTTGTTTTCTACAGATTTATATTTTAAAATTAAAATCAAAACAATTTTAACATTCAGATATCATTTTAAAAAAAAGAAGAAGATACAAAGACGAAAATAAAAAACGCACAAATTTATAGGATCAAAAGACTATTTAAGTCTATTATCTGGTAAGCCAAGTTTAAAATTATGAAAGTGAATTTGATGGTATAAATTAATTTTTAATGAAATTTACCATAATTGATTTATTTAAAAGTGTAATTAAATGTATTAATTTTATACTATTTTGTAGGTTATTTAAATATTTACTATGTTATTACTTAGTAGCATATTATATTTATTTTAAAAAAAATGTATTTTAATTTGAAAGCTACAAAAATGTTACTACCCCAATTCTAAATAAATTATTCAAAAAGACAATGTTTGAATAAATTAATTCATTAACTACAATGGCAATTTTTTATCCGGAATCTACACGTAAAATGTTAATATGTAGGACACATGTTAAAAGCTAAAAATATTTATTTTTGGAAAATTTTCATTTATTTTATTAAAAAGTTATAATTAATCTTTTACTGTTCTCTTTAATACAAATTTTTTATTTGAAGATTTTTTATCATGTATTGTTAGAGCACAACTTAACATTATCCATTAATTAATACAATTGGAATCACTCTTATTCATTATTTCTTTTTCTTTTTTATATTTAATATTATATTCACAAATGCGATTGATTTTAAGATGAACATTAGTAAGATATCTGAGTATCTGCACGGGTAAATTCATTTTGATAAAATATAAAATATATTTAGATACATATATAATTTTAAAATGAGTTTCTTAATCGTAAAATGAACCATGATTATATAAATTTAATTGGTTAAAATAAAATATGTATTAGTGACCCGTGACTTAAAATATTTTATTATTTAAAAATTTGATATCAATATATAATACTCAACATTTTCTATTTGATGTTAATAAATAGTAATTAAAAAAATTTTGAGATAGAAAGTAAAAGAATGCATATTTTTTAAATCGGATGGTAATATTATTATTTATTTGTAATAAAAATAGGAATTTTACCTTCAAATAAAGATAATGAGTGATTCAAATAAAATAGGTAATATGATATAGTAACATGTGAAATAGAAAGAAAATTGTGTGATAAAATAAATTATTAACTTTATTTAAATTATAAAACATACTAATAAATATTTTTAGTGATGAAAAATAAATAAAATTGATTAAATACATTGTAAAAACTAAAATAAAATTGTTCAAACTCGTATTTATATAAATGTAGAGTTGTCAATATATAATTAAAAATAATGTTTACAATAATATTTTATTAAAATATTTAAATAATAATTTAAAGTTTTGGAAAAATGAAATATTTTAATTTAAAAAATATTGAAAAAATAAGAAAAAAATATGAATTCTAAATTTCGTATATAATAGACTAAAATATTATAAATAAATAAGATGGCAAATGAAAATATGATAAAGGAGAGAAACTGTAAGGTATTCCTTTTAATATTTGTTAATTACAACAAAAGATTTTTGATAGTGTCTATTTTTTTAAGATAAAAATATAACATTGATAGGTTGCATCTATGTTATACTCATAAATTAATTCTAATACTAAATACAATATGCTTAGGCATTTGGATATAGAAACTATTTTAAATAAAAGAATCATCGTAATTGATCATATTTTTGCTTTAGTTCTAACTTTAATTTTATAATATTTAAGGAATGTTGAACAATTTTTGACAGACTCAATTTTCCATCAACTAAATTTGCAAAATCGTAGAAGACATTCATATATCTGTAGTCAAATTCAATCTTTATTAAAATAAAAAAATATTATCTTAGCTTAAATAATTTATTGGTCTTTGTAAGTGTTGGAATAATATAGAAAATATGAGTAAGTGGAAAAATAGTCTCACATTGGATAGGAATGTGTAGACTTAAGCATATTTAAGTGGGAGAATCCACTCACCTATGACCTTAAGGTTTTAGGTGGATAAGTGGTGTGTCTCTCACAAAGGTGCTTATTCCTATACTATGTATC